CGGGAAGGGACGGCGAATTTATCGTTAATATTTTTCGAGCGCGCAGAGTCTTCCGTGAAAGAAAGGAGGGGAGGGATGGAACGTTGTTTCGATATTTTGTTCTCTGCCGAAGCAGGTAGCGGTGCGGCGGTACCATACCGAGAGTCGGAAAGTATAGACGAACACGAGACTGAAATTTATGTCGTCGCACGAGACGCACGCGAACAAAAACGTCGACGCCGTTAAAATGTCGTTTCACCCTTCGAGGTCGACCTTCCCCGAGTGACTTGTGAGTATTATACGCTTCTGTATCTCGTTAGTTATTTCAAGTCCGGATCCCGACCTGAAAAGTTGGCACCGAGTGCCATCCGTTTCGTCCACTGGAATTCCATTGCATCGACAGTGTCCGAATAGGTGAGAAACGAGCTGCGAATCTTTTAACGTCGTGCATGCAACGAGAGCTTTGGACAAGGAAATTGCGCGTACGGACGAAGGAGTCGTAACGAAATCATACGGCCGCGCGCGAGTAACGAGCACTCTCCTTTCTATCGCTCTTCCTCCCCTTGCCCTCGATCTCGCCATCCACGCTGAAAACAGCAGGAAGAGTGGAGTCAGATACAACGCTGCCCTCCCGAGGGCATCGAGCACCGGAGAAACTCGGCAAACAATTATAACTTCCGGTGGGAAACAGCGGTGTATATCGCCGCCGAGCTGCAAGGCGCACGTCGTTGCGAAACGCTACATTTATGGTCCCGTTGGTGTTATCGAGCTCTGAATTTCTGGTTTCGGAATTTGCAGCTGCACCGCGCCCGGCTGCGGTCGGCCGCCACCCTCGGCCCAACGATTACCTTTCTTAGCGTTGCGCGCGATTCGATTCATCCCCCCCGGCGCGTTCCTCCGAATCCGGATCTCCTACTGACGAAGGGTGGACCACCTCGGGGTGGTGGCTTCATATCTCCGCTGACGCGCATGGAAATATCGTTTCCGTTAACCTTTCGCACTCCTAGTGGGATTTCTTGTTCACGTCAGCTGGCTCCAAGCTATTTTCAAGTAAACTACTGACGCGTGAGTAATTAATGCTTCCACGCTCCACTTCAGTGACTGAGCTAAAATAACAATGTTCCAATGATTGACCGAATAGCTTTCCCGTTCCAACGAAGCAGGAGTCGAGTCTTTCGCCCGCGATCTATTCCCGATCGAAATGGTAATAATGAAAAGTTTAACTAAACGAGTCTCCGCGATTGCTTCGAGACACCGTCATTCAACTAAAGAATCATCCCGGGGCAAACGCCAACGAAAACTACTCCGCTCTGTTAATTCCTTATTTATTGTCCAAGATAAAATTCAAAGTTCTCTGGCGAGTTTCTCATTTCTCTATCTTGTTCTTGCATCTGACACGTGCACAGTGCGTACAGCGGACGTTCTCACGTAATCCCTTTCGTCCTCGGACTGCAAAGTTTTCCCATTTGGCGAGGTATGTACACTTTTGTTTTCACCGCGCGGTAAAACAAATTTTCAGGTGCATTTCGGAGCGCTGAGCGAGCATTCTCGTGCACGAGCTCCATTTGACGAGGTGCATTTCGCCGCCGCATTTCCTCTTGTCCTTCTCGCAAGATCCACTCGCAAAAAGCCATCTCTTGGTTGAATTCATGACAATGTTACACAGTAGGCTCACTTTTTTTCCCCCGAGAAAAGCTCGTACCGAACGTATGAATGTTTCAAGCGCCTCGGAAGGAGTCGTTAGTATGAGCGTCGGAAAAATTATATCGACCTAGCGTTTCTCGAGAAATACAAACGCCGTATGACACGAATAAATTTTTAACGACACGACGGCATAAAGACACACGTACCACCAAGCATTATCGTTTCGATACTAGCAATAAGCATTCGGTCAATAAAAATTCTTGGTACTAGAAAGACCTACTCTCTCTCTAAAAGTCAATCGGTGAATTATCAATGACAACTATACTTATAACTGTGAATCAGTGAGTATTCACTGTGTTTTCAATGGTAATCTATACCGATTTCCCCCAAAAGAAGAGCAAACGTTTACAGTTGAAGAAAGTCGCCAAAAAAAGATTAAAAACAGATATATTGTAGAAAAGTTACGATTCGTGTTAGAGAATGACACTTGGTAAGAAAAATTATAAGCATCATTATGACAGTTTTTAGCGGGCTTATCGAATTTGCCGTTCTAAGTAGGTCATGCCTGTGTGTACCGGCAATTAATCACCGGTTTGGGTCAAATAAAAAATTGACGATGCAATCGCGTAGTGGCAGTAATACGTCATACGAAACGACAGACTGATAATCAATCGCGATTACGGCGAGTGATATCAATTTAGAATACTTAGTACCCTCCGCTCGAGCGTGCATTTCCGTCTAGACGATCGCGACCTACGCCCAAGTCGCGCTACTTTTTCAACGTCATATCGAAATTGGAAAATCTATCGGGGGTAGCCACGGTCACGATTAATCTTCAACGACAGTCAGATCGCGAGCTTCTCGATATTTTACTCGTGCGATATGACGTTTGGCCGCACCGAGAGAGCAATGTCGGCGCGCCTGCGACAAATCGATCATCGAAATACGTTTCTTATCGGCTCCCCGCCAGGGTGGTCTCCGCGAACTTGAAGGTGAAAAGTCGACCCGCGTGATCCCTCGCGTGAGATTTCGGCCCGAGGTTTCGACGCAACATCATGTCGCGACATGGTTTGCGGCACGGAGACGAAACTGGGTACAAGTGTAACGTAAGACCGCGCGCGAACATCAGCGGGCGATAAGCGATGACTTGCTCGCGATGAATGGGGAGGTGAGTAAGCACGCTAGCTGCTAAATAAAATTCACAAGCACGCGCTATTCAATCAACACGTATGCATCGCCGAGAAACGGTAGCGTTCGCATTACGACCGGCACCTCCGCACCATTGATAACTGATAATTATAGCATTCCTATGATTACCAACAAACATAGAAATACCTACATTTTTGACAATTTTATTAATATTACAAAATAATCTGAATTACGAGTGTTGTTGTCGTCGTGTACACGTTCATTGAGTTAATCTCGTCAGAATTATTTTTCATAAATAAAATTCCGCATCTCGCTTCAGAATTCGAAGCTCATCGCTTATCGTTTACCAATGTGCACCAAGTTTAATGGTGTACGAGGAGCATAATACGAATGGTTGGAACGGTCGGGAAAAAAGCGGGAAAAAGATAAATCTAAATATTAAAATTTAAATGTTAAGCACGGTAGTAGCCGCGTTTATCGTGAAATATTCTTGTGCTGCGGAATAAAACGGTCGCAATCCGGACAGTATTCTCGCAATGTCGATTGTGAAAAATCGTCGTTACCGAAGCTACGAAGCGTCGTACAATTACGGAAATGAATGGTATGTCGTATGCGTTTCTGTCTGTATTTTCTTCCGTAAACCCCGCGATTTTCGAAGCGGATCAATGTAGGACGGAAATCCAATGTCCCGAAAATCCATGGCTGTCAAAATATCGCGACGCAACGGGAGCAGTAACATCCGTTGAAGGCCGTCGTACGGATTTTAAAGCGCCGCGATGTCATCTGTGACATCTTGTCAGAAAAGTAAATGGCGAAATCAATGTTGAAAATAAGAGGAAAGGAATGTTTCACAATCTCGCTTTGTATCCCAATTTGTGTGACAAGCCACGATCCATTTTATATGATATAATAATACGGAGACGAGAGGAATTTATAAGCTAATGAGAATTTGGATTCTACAACATTGTTTAAACTTCATTCGCCAATCGTTCTTCTCGCATGAATCCTTAAACATTATTAAAGATTCACGAAATGCAAGGGGACATGAAAATACGAAAATAGTGGTACGCTTTTATCAGAAGCAATTTATCATGGGTTGTCAACTCGGATAACTCAACGCAGTTATTAGCTTCTCAAACTTGGTTTCCGACTTCATTTAAATATCTCGCCTTTCCGATCTGATGCTAATGACAAGTAGAAAAAAAAGTGCAAACTGTCAATACATTGTAGACCTTGCATTCACGTACAAAACGCGGAACAAATAAACGAATGGAAGAGTTTTCGATTAAAACAAAAGAACAGTGATTTCTCGTTGAAAGAATAGTTATCCCTTAACGAGGAATCTCAACTATAACACGCTAAAATATTGCCACGTTTTCTCTCCGTGAAGATTGGTAATAAATTCTTCGCTATTACCAAAGAAAGATAACATCGTAGCCGCCAAAGTACCGAGAGACTTAAGAGCCTTATATCAGTCGTGTCTTATCGGTTGTGACTGATAAGAAGTTTGCAACCGTAAGAAGGAGAAAGAGTCGAAAAAGGGTCACACTGAAGATACCCAATGAGATAAGAAAGAAAAGTTAATGCGAATTAAATAGTGATGTTCGCGTTATTTTCTCGACAAATTATTACATTATTTCGATGATGGGCAAACGGTAATAATAACAAATGTCGACCTGCTCCGATATTAGCGAAAAATAATTGGCGCACGCTGAAAAAGGTCGGTGGATCAAGAATGTAAATCTCCTGCCCCCATCTTTCAGGAAGAAGCAGTAGACTCACTGTGTACTTAAAGAAGTACATAATAAGCAAAATAATACGCGAAGAAATACGAGAGGCAGGGAAATATTGATCCGGTAAAAATATTCAAAGTTAATAATGACAGAACTTGTACGAATAAACACGACACAAATCTTGGAAAGTTCAAGCCTGTAAAATATCCAACAGAATGCGAATAACTTTTTAAATACCGATGCAAAGTTTATATATCATCGTGTATTAAGAGATTAAAGTATTCGGAGATTAAAGGTACTTGTTTAAAAAAAGAAAGACTTTCGGATTTTCATAGAAGAGGGCAAAGCGAGAAGCGGAGCCACGAGATGCGCCGCAACGGAGCAGAGGACGTACTGAGTGTGTTGGTCGAGGGAGGGAAGTTTGCCGAGCTCGGTGGGGATGCGTTTTACTCTGGAGGGACGAGACGGGCGGCGTAGGAGAAGGGAAGCAGAGAGAGAGAGGATACTCGTGTCGCGCGATAACCGTCGCCGAGGTGCAAACCAGCCGCGAATTCGAAAGGCGGCCAGTCGCTGTTCGCGCGTCGACGACGGCGCGTCGCGAGGTCCGCTCGTGCCGCGAGATTAACGGAGAGACCTCGATGCTCTCCGCCTGACGCACAGTACGCTCGCGTTACTATCTCGTTGTAAGTGTTTTCAGCCGTCATGGATCGGCTTAATGGAGGAGTGTTCTGGTGCCGATGTGAGCGTTGGTGCTCGCGCGAGTGAAAGAAAATAATTCCGAGGATGCGCGATGAAAAATAAGCGAAGGATTTTCTCTCCCTTGAACGCCACAAAAGGACGCGAGCGTGTTTCTTAAATGAATTTCGTTTTTCCCCGACGTACCCTGTGCATCTCGCCAACGTGATGCGCGAGCGCAATCTCTCACGACGCAATCGTGTTGCATAACGCGATCGGCGTCACGCGGCAGCTGCATCACGCGTCGGAGTACACGCCGCCGAGAGTGCGTAAAATAATGCGATGGCGGTCTGCCGGGTCGTAAAATGAAACGCGGGTCGAGCCGCGGCATTGAACCGTGAACCGCCGATCGACCGTCCGCGACTAGCAACGTCGTCTAGCCGTCGCGACGGCCAAGTTTATTCCGTGCGATCGTACGCCCGAGAGGGAGAGAGGCTCGCTCGGATGGATCATCGCGAGAACGTAATACTTGATTTCCCACGTGGCATGGTGCGGGCGCGCTATCTCTTACAACCGCGCCGGCTGCAGGCTCGATTAATTGCTCGTTTCTCACTCCCTAACCCTGCCCTGTCCTGTTCCTGCCCTCGACGAAAGAATCGCCGCCGCCACCCAGAAGACTTAATTGTCGCGTCACGCGAGTACACTTGTCGCGTAAGTGTGTGCGTCGATTGCCAGAATTTCTACCGATACACGCGCGGCATCTACAAAATTCGCATAGAGAGAGAGAGAAAATATTTTCCTCTCTCTTTTTTCTTTTTTCAAGGGAAAAATTTTCCATTAACTTCCTGTACGTCAAACTTATCGTGCGGCAAGTAAAATATTGACTCGGTCGTGAGAAATGCGCGTCACGAAAATTTCCTTGACGACCGCATCGAATTCCGGACGTTCGACGTTTCGAGGCGGGTCTCTCCTAAACTGCACCACAAAATTCCGGAAAGAAGAGATTTATTATATACCCGTACCTCCCTCCCTCTCTCTATCTCCGAGGGCTCGCGGTGTAACAATGTTCAAGTACCCTCGGTTGGGCTTTGCCCTTCTCGCCTACTGTTATCTCGAAATTGAAAACAATGCCGCGAGACTAAACATTCCACCCGGCGTTGCTCTCTGCGTTGCATGCATAACGTTACTTGAGTCGGCGCAGGGCCGCAGCGGTGCGAATTATGTACCGCGTCGGGATTAAACCGGGAAACGTCGAAAGATGTTGCATCCCCTACGGAAAACGTCAACCGCGAACCGCTGCTAGCTTGGCAGATATCGCGCGATTAAGAGAGACAAAATGTATCGTTGCAAAATTGATTGGAATTGCTCTTTGCACTCGTATACGCGACAACGGTACGCTTCGATCGCTTGCCGATCGAAAAAATGAAAGTACGATATCTCTGACAATTTTGCGACTAGCGCGACACAAAAGAAAGACGGGAAATGGCACGATGTAAATTGTGTTCGCTCAGCAATTCTTTCTCGATGCGCCCAAGTCGATTTCTGAAATATCAATTTTTCTAATCGTATCAAGGCGAAATCGGTATGATTGCTCGTCAAACAAGAATTCATCTTCCAGGTCGACAAGCATAAAAGTCTTGATTACGCGACGGAATATTCGAGGGCGGGAGGTGGTGGGCGAGGCACGGAAGAAAAATGTGTCGTTTAGAAAAGGCGGTCGAGCGTGTTCTCCGTAATGTAGGTTATCGTCGGTCCCGTGCCGGTATCACTCGTGTGTCGCATTAAAAACGTGCTATCGATAACGAACAAAACCAATATTTTTCGTTCGCGTTCGAAATCACCGCCATTCGTTATCGTAACAAACATGGAAATGAGCAAGTGCGCGCGAGAGACATGGTAGACGCGCCTCTGTACAAACCTGCGTTCTATTCAAACAGAATCATCGGACCGTTACAACACACCGTATCGCTTGACACGCGTGATTTTATTTTTCACGCGCGCAAAACCGACAGTTCGATCCTGCTCCGCGTTCGGCTCGACATTGGAAATGTTTGGCCGGTACGAGAGGCGCGAGATGTACAACTGCATTCGAAAATAGGGACGCGCGGCCAAGTGCATGAGTAAATAATCTAGCTGGAGAACATTGTTGAACAATTCGTGTTTATCGCTAAATAAAAGTTATCGACAGCGAATTCACTTACTCGAAATTAATAACGAAACGCGAATTAAGACGGGGGGAAATTGAAAATTGGCAATAGCGATCTGCATTTTTTTTTTCAAAAGAATGCAATTTTATTACGTGCGAGTAATCAGCGGAGAAATGAAATATGCAATCGTTTGGCATTTCCCAATCTATTCTATTTCCGATTACGGATAAAAAAACGGCCACGTCACTCGCTAGAATGAAAGTGCAATGAAGTGGGTCGGCGATCTCGGAGTTTCGATAAAACTTGAAAATGCAGCCGCGTTGCACGGCCGAAATTGCAACTAAAACGCGGCCGCGGCAAACGATCGAAATACACTCGAGCGCTTCGGTTGAATTAGCTAAACGCGACACCGGGGGAGAGCTTATCAATAATCGATGTATGTACATAACCCGTCTCTCGCTATGTATTCCTCCTCTCCCCTTATAATACCGCATTAATTCGTCAACCACGTCATGTGCGCCTCTAATGACGGCCGACTTTATTCAAATCGCATCATTTTAATATGTAAATGATCGAAGCGGGTCACAACCAGCGCGATGAAACTCGAAACCATTTCCTCGTTATAATGAGACCAAACACTCTATTGGATTGTGTATAGCTCCTCAACTATTTAACCAATTCGCTATTTAGTGAACGCGCCGTGCATATAAAATTGTACAATTTATAACGTAAACATGTTCTGAACGAAGAGAAAGACAGACAGGAAGAGAGAGAGAAAGAGAATTAGAAATGCGCGAAACAATATTTTATTAAAAGGGAGCCAAGCATTCTCTTCTCAGCCTTTATCTATCGAGAACACGGGGGTGAGAAACCTTTGCCGGTCAAATCATCGCCGGATTAACCCTTGTCTCGCGACCAGGCGGATCGCAGTCCTGAAATCCTAATCCTCGAGTACGAAAAAATTATTCCCCCCGAGGATCTTCGTAAGCTGCCGTGAGGGTTGAATCCTCTCCTCCACTATATTTCTCCCTCCGACCTGGCCTCGTTTATCGTTATCGCCGTCTGCGAACGCTTTTCCCGGGAGGGCGCGGACAATTCTTACAAGTCGCGGCGATAAAGCGAATGGGAAGATAAGACGACGTTACGAAGGAATAAAGGCGAATGTCTCGAAACGGGGGATGGACCGCTCGCGGAAGATCGTCATCGCCTTTTCTCTCTCTCTCTCTCTCTCTCTCTCTCTCTCTCTCTCTCTCTCTCTCTCTCTCTCTCTCTCTCTCTCTCTCTTTCCTTAAATTGCATGCAGCCATGAGGAATCGCATACGGTATTCCGGTGGAGTCGCGCCCAGCCGAATGGGGCGCGAGAAGTCGACGACTCGCCACATATATATGCGTGCATACATACACACACACACACATATATATATACACATACATTGCTGGTGAATCGACGTGGTATTACGAACGAGAGGAAGAGTCACGTAATCGGAAACGATTTACTCCTACACGTACCTCACCCCGTACCTTACTTATCGTGTCGCGTGTCGAAGAGGGCAAGACAGACCAACGGGATAGGCGCCTATCCGTTTCATTCAGCCGCATGTTTCTGGAACGATAAATATGCGGGCCTCCCCGATCTCGCGTCTCGGACTTGAATATATATGAATGTCCATTAACGAGGCGTAAATCAGCCGGGTCGAAACGTTTAATCGTTGTACCGCGCGCGGAGATGGGATCCATTCCATCGTCGGCTCGGAATAATTTGCGTTTCAGTCTTCGTCTCCGTCCAGAGCGCATCAATTTCGTTATCGAACTCCCGTTTCTTTTTCTCTCTTTGGCTCTATTTCTCCTCTGTGTCTCGCTTCGTTATAGTTGCCGCAAAACTGACGCCCAGTGTGACCCGCTACCGGTCAATTAATCGTACACAAACGATCACCGCGCACCTGCTCCTCTTTCTGTCTCTTTCTCTCTCGATCGTCGATGAACAATGAACATTCGTTAATTAAAAATGATCTACCGGTCGATGTATGAGTTTTCTCACGCGATATTATTATCTCTGTCATTGGAAGCGTACGATAACGGGGATGAGCAATGAAGCGAGAATTAATTCCACAACGTGGCAAAATTCCAAAAACCGATATAAATATTATTATGAAGAATGTAAGCGTTTACTTAATAAATGTGTTAATGACGACGTAAAAGCTGTTATTTTTCAATTATAATTAGATTTGAGACACACTCTTCATAAAAGCATATGCGAAAATATAATTGATACGAATCGCAAGAGCTTAAAGCTTCTAATTCGTAAGTTTTGCCGAGCTTAATATTAAGATAAATTTTTTGTAACTCCTAATTAATGCAACGAGCAATTAGTTTAGTAAAAGCACCGCGTTAATAGTGAGGTATCTCTTGGTTGCTACTGAAAGTGGAGCGAAAAGCCGAGAGGTAGACTGAAAACCGGACCGGAAGAAATTTCGAGCGGTCGTCGTTCGAAGGACTCGACCGTAAAGGGAAATTCTTCTCGAATCCTTTGAGTGAGACCGCCTTTCATTCACAACGCTCTTTTCACGTTTATCGATCCCGCTCGCTTCCACTTGATGCCATTTCACTTTTTTTTTGTTATTGCTCGAATAGACCAAACTTTATTCCAGCGAGCAATGTAGATATCAAAGATACATTTCGTTGACTGTCTACGGGAACAGTTTCACTTGCTGGTGGAATTTTCGGATTATATTTAAATTGGAGATAGAATAGTGTTGCATTTGTTAGTGCCAAAATGTAAGAAGTAATGAAATAATTAACTTAAAACCGCAGCTCGCTGTGCTGACTCGTAATGAAATGTATTAAAATACGTTTTCAAGTTCTTAAAATTGGTATAAATTGTGTTTTCCTATTTCTTTTCCGTCAGTTATCAGCACGCAGATATTCTTTCCATTTTGTTTCAGCGTGTCTCGCGAAAAGTTACGTCAGTTTTAATAAGACGATTTTTTCGTTGCACTGCAAAATTACCAACGTAAATAACCGAGAAGCATGTTCGCGGAACGCTAACGCGAAAAGTTTACAGTAACGGCAGTTGACATATTTGTACGATAAACAGAACCACGTCATGTCGAGCGAGAGCACTCTGATAACGCAGGAATGTAGGCACGATTAGTCACGCAACGGTATACAGTGGGAGAGTAGTCGAGTGGCAGATCGCGGATTATCATCATCGGATATTGCAACGCCGTCGTTTGATGCAGCGGTATCGTGTGGCACTTTTCAACAGTTCGTCCGTTCCTGTACGATCGAACATGATAACGCAACGTGTTATCACTTTGAAAGCCGAAACAAAAACGTTACCGTTCGATATCATTGCGCGACATCGTCGTATCTTCTCGGAAAAATCGCGAACCAATTTCCGCAAACGTTCCCGATAAATTTGATAGAAAGAACCTGGAAAGTCGTCTCGTAATGATTCACGACGTAATCGTAAATAGGATATGTCGAAAAAACGTTCTCCGAGAGAATGCCCACATCAAAAAGACGTGTAAATTGATAATGAATAGAAGAAAAATGTGACGAAGGGAAAAATGTAATGGTAGAAAGAGGGAAGAGAGGGAGAAGTGCAAGGTTTTCTAATTTCTCTATCCTTACAGAGGACGGACTATCGTTTCGAGAAGAATAAGATTGAAGAGGGGAAGAACTCTGGTGATGAGGCGACGCAATGTTCGAGAACGTTGCACGCTGTCAGCAACAAAATTGGATCGTGCCGGTGTCCCAACGAGGAAGCGGAGCGTCGAGACGAATGTTGTAGTAAAAGAAGACTACTCGAGGTGGCTCGAATGAGCCTCGATACTTATACCGAACGGTCGTTTCATCCAGAGATGGACGCAGATTACGATCGAATCACGTAACGTGGCATGTGTCACGTGCCACGGCCAAGTCGAGATAGTTTTTCGTGGTGCAAGCGACATTAATCGCGAGCGCGAACCAGTCAGTATTTAATCGCACGCTAAGCCAGGGCGAAAATTGAAAGCGTCGGATACGACGGCGCAGATTTAAAGCACAGACATGTCGGGGCGACCTAGCGGTCGGCTCGACGTGAAATTGCCTGACGCCGGCTTGGTATAAAACAGCTGGTAATAAAGAAGAAGTGGCGTGAAGAAGAGGGAACGCTCCGAGCGCATGGCAGAGGGAGAGAGAGGAGGGGAAGAAGGAGCGAGCGAGAAGCGCAAAATGAGAGCAACGAGATATGTGTTGGGCAGCGCGATCTTGGGACTCTTTTGGAGCAGTTTACTCAAGGGCGTCCTGACCAACTCCACAAGCAGGTGCGATTATCCGCCCTGTTCCTGCGACCACTACGGCAGATTGTCCTGCGACTGCAAGGAGGAGGGAGAGGTAGGTTCGACATGACAAATCGTATCGCTTGATAAGCATTCGCGCGAGTGTCGATTTTCGATTCAATCTCGGCTCGAATATCGCCAAGCCGACGAAAAGGTAGCGGCCGAAAAAAATATTGTTCCCCCTTATCGGAAACGTAGGATCTAAGCGCGTATCTCTCGCCTCTCCGGGACAAGGAAGTATATTTTCTCTTCTCGTATTCCAGCTCGTCGTATTTTAACTCGGAACCCGACTCTGTTCAACACCAACGAAAACATGAAATTCGAATCCTTATTCGCATACCGAATACCTGCACATTTTCAGTATATCATTTATAATTACGGCAGAATAATACAGCGCGGATAAAATCTTAAAAAGAACAATTATTATTCTGTTAAATATATATGTACTTATTACTTTAATTATAATTACTCCTTTTTCCATTTTACTCGCCGCGTCCTCATATTTTTACATACTTTGTTTTACACGGAGAGACTTTTTTTATGCGAAAAGGCATTTTTTGTAGACATCTATTTTCCGGTTCTTTCGTTCGATTCTCGGGGTCGAGTTTTAGGGTTAACTCGGTTCTTTTCATTCTAATGGTTTCAACGTCCGATCGGATGAGAGTCGTCCGATCTCTGTCTCCGATCTTTCCTCACCTTTCCACCTCAAACGATCCGGCGAACGACGATAGAAGTAGTTCTCACGCGCTTTCTCTCTTTCTCCCAACAACGAATTGGTGCGAAAACCGCGACGGAGTCTATCGCTATCGCACGAAAAATCTCAGACAATGCGACACGGAGCTCCGTCTGCCCGTCCTTTGTTCCGCGAGGGACGTTATTCCATTTGCGAATTACCCGACGGGGAGATAAAGGGGCGGTACCGCGGGTAGCTCCGTGCGATGGTGAAATCGTAAAACCCGATCTCTTCCGCGGCCGAGAGGGTAGAATAGAAAAAAAACACCACAAGAGAAAATGTTTCCCCGCGATCTCGGTGATGTCTGAGGTGGCGCACGTCGCTCGGGGCGACAACAAGAATCGGGAAGTAATCGTCGCTTATAAACTGATCGAGGAAGAGACACTGTGAATCAGACAGAGAGAAAAAGAGAGCAGCCAGAACGAGCCTAATCTCCCAACTACGCGGGGGGTTCCCGTAAATCGCGAGGGTGCCAACCGCGACGGAGGGATGGAGCCTCCATAAATTAGAGCGTGTTTACGCAAATCGGTAGGGCAAGAAGGGCAAGGCAGGCAGGCAGGTAGACACGTACGCGTACGAGGTAGAATGGATGCGATCCTCCTCCACCCTCTCGTAAATGTTTGGCTTTTATCCCCCACGCACCCTGTTGGTTCGAGCGGGAGAAAAAAATAGCGGGCGATCCCTCGGCGATCTATGATCACGCGAGCCGTTTCCGACGCTTCCGGCCATCTGCGATATTAAAGGAGCACCGGCGCGATCAGGAAGGAGCGTCTCTGCCTACGTGCAGCTACGCGCTGGAGGCGCGGATGATTCATAATCGCAACGCGATATCGCGATAAACGAACGTCGCTCGAAAGGGCGTTTCTCGGTGGCACTGCAACGAGAGAATTTTCTTCGTGACGCGCTGAAACCGGAAGCCGCCCGGTATTCGTTAAATCGAATCGAATACGCGAGCGGAGGCCAAGTAAAGCGGAGAAACACGGTAACGCGAGTACTATCGCTTTTCCCACCGCCGGAATTTATTGAATAAATTTGGAGACTCTCTCGCGCGGTGATGAGAGTTTGAAATTCGACTTGGCCAAACTTTCTTTCCCCGTTCCACCGTCTTTCTCCTACTCGCGAGCGTTGCCCTTTTCGTCCCGCGTCTCTTTTTCTCACCCCGCGATAGAGAAGCGAACGGTAGTACGAAGTAATACGATAAGAAAGTAATGAATGCAACTCCGCGGTAGGGACGGCTGCTGCATGGAATATATATATGTGTATGCATATATATTGTATATACAGCAATGCGCTTAACGATTACACGACAAGATAAAACAATCAGCCCTGTTACTACAATTAAAGTCCCCCGCGTTATTTGATTTAAAACTCGGAGATTTTATCAATTTCACACGCGGGAATAATTCCGGTATCGCGGCACTGGTACGCAAACGAGTCTCGTATTCGTGGCGCGGAGGGAGAGAGGGATACGGAAATTTAATCGCGGCCACGTTGCTCCAAGCGCGCAAATATTTCGCGATGCAACGACGTTGTTTTACTGCGCACCGTGCCCGGGACGAAGATAATGTTAACGCGCGCGTCCTCGCCAGCGTCTCTCGCTGTCATTATTGTTCCACGATAAAGCGTTCTTTGTGTCCGCTCGAGTGCACGAGGAGCGTGCATGCCGCACGCTGCCGGCGATTCGACAATACCCGTAAAATTCGCGCGCGCGTGACGAAATGACCGCCGGAAGAAGATGAGCTCGAGCTCGAGCGAGCTTTCCGTCGCGAGAAACCATCTATGTACGCATGTGTATTTCTGATACGCTGGCAGTTTCGATGGCCTTGCGCTCGCGCAAAGATACGAGCAAAAAGTGAGCCACTTTATCGCTCCGAACGGAAGATATGATAACGCTGATTATAAGAAAGAAGTGGCTCTCGCTAACGATAAAGCATATAAATTGCTCGAAACGGGATTGAATTTCTGTTGCGCGGCTAATTGGTCGAAAACGTGCTTCCCATTCATCATCGATGACATATCACGCGTCTGGAGCGAACTCACAATTACATCGGGCAGCACGAGGGAAGTGTGACGGAAGGGAAAATTTTTATGCCAACAAATATTTTTATATTAATTAATGTTTTAATACGATTCGAGCTTGAAACTTGAACTATCTTCTCAAATGTCGTTGTTTCTCCAACGAGTTAATAAATTAGTTGATGAATAAGAACGTAAATGTGACTTGAGGAATATTTTAGAAGAAAGCTCCTGTAAAAGCAGTTTGAGTAATACTATATTTTATATGAGATACTAAGCTTCTGTCAAATTTAGTGTTAATGAAAGAGCAATTAATTCATGTGCCTTCCGAAAATATATTCGCAGAAAATAAAGATCTTAAGAAAAATGCATTGTGAGTAAATATAGAAAGTAACGGTCCAATGAAAAATAGAGATGTATCTGAGCAATTTATTCGTGCATTTTCCGAAAATAATTTTGCAGAAAGAGCTTGAAAAGAATTGTGTTTTTAAGCAAACACAAAAGCCAACAATTTAGACAATGAAAAATAGAGATGTACCTTGGCAATTAATTGGAAAATATTATGCAGCAAGTACGCCTCGTAAAGATGTTAAAAAATACGCTTTGGGTAAATGCATAAAGAAACAGATTCTAGACAATGAAAGATAGAGACGTCCCTCAGGGTGGCAAGTTTGTGGTTAATGACAGTGATTAATTCATACGTAACAAAATCTGCTTTCGCGAAAAGGAGTTTGAGTTAAAACTGATAACGAAAGAATTCACAAATGATGAAAAACGCTTGAAACTTGTTTTAACAATGGGGAAACAACCGAGGGATCCTCTGTGTACAAAGTCCCTAGTCGCGCGTTGAATAATTGACGGAGGACGTAAATAATTGAAGCTGCCTTTTAGCGAACGCGACCTTAAACTTACTCGCTCCGCCATAACAAGAGAGACGGCGGAATAAGACACGAAACGACGAACGAAAAAAAAAGAACGTCCCGGTCGGGGGTGTAAAAGTAACGGCCGTAAATACTGTCGGAAACGTAAGGATGCCATTTCCGAGGAAAAGACGCGCGCGGTTATGAAAATACTTGGAAAATGGAAGGACGATGGCGGAGCGAACGTGCCGTGCCATCCATGAGAAAATTGCAGCGGGATAAAAATGCACGGTTAAGTAAGCAGCGACAATCAGTCCCCGCGGTAATATCGCGGTTATTACGCTTTATAAGTTAATAGTGACGAGCGGGATTGCGATAGAAAATTAATAAAGCGCTCCGGGTGTAAAAGTACTTGGTTAAGTATCTCCGCTAATGGGAAATCGAATTGTCGCTCTCGCGCCAAGTACTAATTAAAATGAAAACGATAATCGCGTATCAGCGGCGGATTTGTCATAATTTAGTAATTGTGCAACATACGCGAGATAATTGGCCGCAATTAATCGCATCGGTCATTTTCCATTAGGAAACTATTAAGCACGCGTAGGAATGCGCGAGTCTGAAAAATTGAGACAACGCGAGGATTCCGCCGAGCGAATTCGACGTCACCGCGGGAAGAATTGTTGCGCATAAATTCTTTATGGATCATAAAAGAGCTTTCGGTTCCATTTCTGCCGCTTCCCGTTCGCCGTTTCGCTTCCGGTTTCAACTCTCTCTCTTTCGCGCGCGCGGGGTGGAATCCGACAATCGCGTGTCTCCCCCCAATAAGCTTAATTCCACCCATTAAACCGATCTCATTTTCATTTTCATCCGGCAAAGTGTCTGCCTATTCGGCGGCGAACCCTCGAACGTTCGATCAGAAACGTAAAAGGCACTTTCGATTACCGCCGTAATCGACGTTAGAGCGCTCGCAATTTCTCGCGGATTATCCCTCGGCGCGGATTTCCCCGCGAATATGGAGTCGGGGAGGTGTCACACGGCGAGCATGCAAAAAACTGGAAAACTAGTTCGAGGCGAACTAACGGGCGCTCGAGTTTAATTCCCACCGGAAATCACCCCCGTATTAATCGACAAGCGCAAGCTCGGCGCGAGAAAAGGGACACGAGGTCAGGAATGCGACGCGTGAAAATGCCAGGAGAGTGACGGAGGAAGGAAGGTCTGTCTGCGAACCGTGGAGGGATCGCTCGAGCGTAACTAAAGCGGAAAATATGAGCGGAATAGAGATACGTTTGCTCCAAGGAAGTCGAAAGAAGGCGCCGCCGCCCCTGTACTTTCCGGTTCCCGCGGAGCTTACCTCACGTTTCTCACGAAACGCGCGAAATTCTCATGAAAGAAAATTCAGACGTCCTCCGGGATCCCGCAGAGTTACGACAATGATTCGATCCGCAAAGACCTACCCACCATTTATGAATTTTATGTTTGCGGGACATGTCGAGCGGGTTGGATAGATAAGCCCGTCACGGGATAGAGGAGCCAATTACATTTCTCAATGCAATCGTCTCGGGAGGTCAACGTGGAATTTTCCGGAGACGGTAGTAACTTGTAGGGATCTAAAGCCGGCAGTTTTCTGAGCGCTTTCCCCGCGCGAGAGGACCGAAACTTTGATATTTTTTTGCACACATCTCTGGGCAAATTTTCTCAAACGGGATAAAGATGAACCTTAGCACGGAATAGGCGGGTACAATACGTTAGCTGATAATCTCTGCTCGAGGTTGTGCGTCCGAAAGTAGCCGCGGACAATGAGGCGGGAACAAAGGGCCAAAGTTCGTACGGAGGCAGGACGGGACGAATGGAGCAAGACATTAATGCGTAAGAACGACAGGGTCTGAAAAAGAATGGCATAAAAGCCCTTTTCTCCCATCGGCCTGTGTCACGCTCTTTTAATTTCTATTCTCTAATTTTACCATTCAACGGACACTCTGCCTCGCGTATTTTTTCCGCGTTGCAATTGTACAGCCCTTCAGTTTTATCCGTCGTCTTTATTTACAGAAGAAAAAAGAAGCAATTTATTAGTGAAAATTCCTTTTAATACAACATCACTTTAATATGATAATACTATACCAACCGTCATTTCTGCTTCTCTCTCTCTCTCGGAGTGCAACGTTTAAAGCCGAATTGATTAGGTAGAGAAGCGAGATAATTAATGAGAGCAACATACGTTCGCCGCGAGCGACGCGCCTCTCCCCCCATTCTCCCTTTGTAGAAATGAAAGCCGCGAGAGAATCGCGATCAACCCGTTCGCTCGCACTAGGTGTTATCGGGCGACATTCCGACGTCACGGCGAGAGCTGCGACCGGCGCAGCGCGAATAAATGAGCAGACGAATACATTGCAAGCAACATTCCAATAACGTGGTACACGCTGCGCGCGAGCCTCGCGAAATTATCCGCCTCGCTTTTCCTTCGATTCGCGCGGACGTAACAGAACGGTCCCTGTTCGATATATCGAACGTGCATCGTTTACGTGCGCGACACGTGACGAGTTCGCGCGGAGCGGATAATCCCGCGCAGTCATCTAATTCGTATGCAAGGGCAAACACGTATTAGCACGCGCCAGAGCGGAAAATCCAACGGAACCGATAGCTCGATGTAAATTCGCGTGCGAACAGTCGATAGCGAGGAGAGGGTGGTTAAAAAAAAAGCTGGCTGAAGGAAGGGAAAACGTGACTTTCGTTTAAATCGATGATCTCCGCGACGTTGCTCCCGACGGACGCGGCCACCGTGTCGCGAAATGAAGCTCCCTCCGTGATTATGATAACGATATTATACGCGGCAATTAGCGAGGCCGGGCGCGCACGTCGCGAATAATTAGGATAGTTAGACCTGCTTGCAATTATAGCTATTCGATCCCTATTTAGAGACCTCCCTCTCGGTACGCTGCGTTGTACCAGATTACGCTCGAACGTTGCTATATTCTTTCCCCTTAATAATATCAAGGATTAATCTCTCGGCGAGAGAAAGGAGAAAAAGTGTCTTTAATATCTTGGTTTGGAAAATCTTTATCCTTTCTTCGCAATATTCGTGGAGGAAATTTAGTCACTCCGACTCTTTTCTGTATATACACAGAGCCCGAGTTAAATGCTAAAAAGATATAAATACTGGGAAAATAAGCTGGCCCTGACGAAAGATAATTTGAATTTGCAGGAATTAATCCTAACCACGGAGGGGGACAGACGGCTGAGTCCACACACTAGCAGGATACTGGTCAACAACTGCTCGTCCGTGATCCTCGCCAACTCGAGCCTACTCTCAATGACTGGGCTACGATCTGTGGACCTAACGAACGTGGCGAATCTTACCCTGGTCAGACAGAGCTTCGAACTGTCGCCGTACAGCTCGCGCACGCGGATCACCGTGCGGAACAGCAGCATCGACGTGATGCCGAGCTTCGTCTTCCGCGGCGACATCGAGGCGATCGCGTTCGAGAACGTGCGGATCGGCCAACTGAGTGCCTTCTCGTTCGCCAATCTGATTCACACCGAGAACATACGGCTGGAGAACTGTCGCGTCGAGACGACGGAGGCGCAGGCCTTTAAGAAGTTCGACGTCGGCTACCTGCACGTGATAGGCGGCACGTTCGGCGATCAGACGCCCAGTCGCACGATGAACGACATCGAGGTCTACCACAAGTTCTTGCTGGACGGCGTGCGGCTGGGCGTCGTGAGGAGCAACGCGTTCATCGTGAGGAGCCCGCGCACGGTGGCGATACAGAACTGCGTCGTCGACAGCCTGGAGAGCGAGGCTTTCGACGTGACGGCGCGCGGCGCCGTCATCATCAAGAACAACACCTTTGGCAGCATCAGCGTGGGCGCGTTTCTGGGCATACGCGCGGATCGCGAGGCCAGGCCGCCGCCGTCGTCGTCGTCGTCGCTGGCGCACGACCTCATCTTCAAGAATAACAGCGTCAAAAGCTTCGAGGAGGGCTCGCTCATGTTCGATCGCACGAGTTTCCGGCCGGAGCTCGACAATCTCGTAATCTCGCAGCCGTGCGACTGCCAGATGTTGCCCGTGTGGAAGAACTATGTGCTCAACTATACGAACGTGTACTCGCGGTTCTACGCGAGGGAAAACTCGCTGGTGCCGCCGCAGTCGCAGCCCCAGGAGCCGATCAACGAGACACCGGAGAGCTTCCTGTGTCTGGACGGCGGGGTGGACGGTGCGCCCATCACCTTCGTCGATTACGAGACGCGTCACTGCTCGCTCGGCGGCTCCATGCTCGTGTTCATCCTAATCATCGTGGGTGCTATCCTCGCCCTGATAATATGCATCTGTTTGATCGTCTGGTGCTGTCGAAGGCGCCGGCGGAACAACAGGAAAAAGTGGATCAGCGTGCCGACCAACGCACCTGACGTGGTCTCGAAGAAGAACGGCGTGATCGGCAGGGAAGCCGCGACGTCCGGCACGCCGGTCGACAGTAGGATAACGATGGTGGTACCGGACGGCAGGCTGTACCGGGAGACGGAGTTTCACGTGATCGTCGAGAAGGCCGAGCCGCTCACGACCGAGTTGTAACGAGACGCCCCGGGCGGCTCGACGAGGAGGCCCACGACCGTCGCTCCCGTTGAAGAGGAACTCGAGTGGGCGGAAACGTCGAGCCGCTTCAGAGTGTACAAGCTGTGAGAGCCGCGGAACAGTCAAGTGATCGTAAAAACTTTGACGATCGGAGAACGCGAGAGGGCTCCCTACAACGGAGTGACGTTACTCGCCTGCGTGAATCCTTGTCGCTTGGAGTATAATAGAACACAAGTGTGTACGCGCTCCCGGAAAATTGTGTCCCATTTCCTTTTCCTTTTCATTTTAATCGATTGTCTCTCCTAGTACAACACAGTAAGCTTCCATTCACATATCACGTGCGGCCGTCGATTACCCAGACCGCGCGTTCCTTTCATTCCACAAGGTCCGTCTTTTACCCAAAGACCGGTCGCGGCAATTAAAAAGTTTTCCCAGAACGAGTCGCCAATTCGGGTAATCGGTCGACGCAGCTAGTTTAAGTTTATCATTAAACTTTGGAAAGAGAGAGAGAGGAGTGGAAGATGAAGCGAGACCCTCGTCGAAGCGATGCGACTTAGGAGGCAGAGGAGAGAGTGAGAGAAGAGCGTGACTCGTGTAGAGAAAACTAAATTCGCTGTCTTGCGTAAGATACGCGATTGGGCCGACCTTTCGCACTCCTGTTGCTTTTAAGTTGATCGATAGCGATAGCGCGTTCATCGACGAAACATTAGTGAGCGTTTCGAGCGAAAATGACGGTACGAAAGGACCAAAGCACATGGGGGACTACCACTCGCTCGGACAGCTGTGCCATTCCTGGGGTGACACAACGCATACTTGACGTGTCCACTCCACAAAAATTCTGATCTCTCGAACGCAAGAGGAAAAAAAAGAGCCAAGATGATGGAGATGAAACTCTTCGTTAAGCTTTCATATCAAAATCGTTCCAAACTATCGTTTTTATAGAGAAGGAGGTTGATAGCAATGTAACAAGTTAAAGAGCGAAAATAAAGCCAACATGAATTCACTAACAATAAAAGAAACAACACCCCCACCTCATACCGGTGGCGAATTTATGAGTCAACGACATGTGTGTCGTCTGGTAAATTGCGACAAATGTTTTCAGTTTCTCTTTTTAACTTGGAAATTTACTACTTTGTTATAAGTTATTATAATAATGTAATCACGTCAATTTTAAAACATACTTTCTGACCTAAGTGCCTGTTGATTAATTTGATTAAATATAGAAACTGTAATATATATCTTTATATAGTTTTCAATCAATTTTTGTTAAAAGAAACATTAGCGTCGAGCCCTTGAAAAATGTAAATTCGCCACCGCGTCGTGCGAAAACAGCGAAATCCGGCAGACTGTAAAACCAGTGAGTTTTTTTTTAACCGCGTTGCGCATAAATTCGTTATCACGTTATTTCATTAATGCATTTATTTAAAGCAGAGATTTGCTTCGAAACTTTGCGATACAAGAGAAAAACTGTTGTTACTGTTATTATAATTTATATTTAATCTTAAGTAAGCCGCGGTAATGAAAACGTTACGATTGTTTCGCGAAATTTGCTGTGTGTTAATGTAACGCTGGAGAATTTCAGCGAAACATGTGATCTTGTAAAACCAAAACCTACTTGGAATGTACATCCCGCCATATAGCAATATTCTTCGACGCGTTTGACCTATGCGTGTAACGAAAGCATTTTAAAAGACTTGATTATGAGCGAACGTACTCCTAGATCATAATCGATGGAAATAAATAAACGTTTCCCTGTCCCTTTTCCCTTTAATTAAAAGGAGGCATATATTGCGACATCGATTTAATATTTTGATAATCATACGAAAGGCATTTCGCCGATTACGGAGGAAGAAGTAAAATAAAGCTTGTCGGAAACTGTAATATATATCGTACGGATAAAATTGATTTATTGAACAGAAGGCCCAAGCACTCGAAGCACTTGAAGACGGAGGTAAGCAACGCTTCGTCTCGAGCGCACGAAAGAAGAGAATTGAGCCTCGGAAAACTTTTTGTGCCTCTTATATTCGATAACTCCAACTCCGTCAAGGTAGGTTTTATTAGCAACCCGCTAATAATATCGAAAGAACAGAGTTATGCCGCGACGTATGCAAACTGTGTGCGCAGGTATGTATGCGTGCGTAATTATATAGTTATGGTGAACGAAATCAGTTTATATCATATATAGTTGTAATTATCGTGAGACTGTGATATAACGACAGCCGCCGACTGTATTATTTGTTTCGCATCGAACGACCGAAGGTACAATAAAGACGATACCAGTAATTGCTAATCGTGTTAAGATTGTTCTCCAAGGAGATGACGTGCTAAATGTTCCTTCAGTTAATAATAGGTATGTATACCGTTTATTAACAAGATTAATTTAATTTGAGTTATTCGTATTTAAATTTGCAATTTAAAGTGATCGCAATGACTAAAAGGCCACGTAAACTCGACTAGAAACCGTCTATAAACGATTCGTATATGCCACCGTGATTGGATAACGTCAGATATTTATACGAATTTATGACTTATTTGCCACGGCCTTGTTTAAGACTTGTAACACGCTACGAATGAATAAAACATCATTTCACTGCAATCTCCGCAAGATAAAAAAGAAACTATATACATCATTATATATTCACGTATTGATTGTGAGAAATACATTGTCTACAGATAAAAAGTATGCACGCAATAACTGCATCGAGCAATTTTTCACGAGATAATAAGCACATTCTATTTCTGGTAGTTTGACTATACAGTTTCTTTTTTGATTTTAATACAAAGATGTTAGGTACTTACCTGTACGGAAGCACGCCGTCGAGAGCCTGCGAGACTGTAGGTGGCGACGCAAGTGCGAATCCTCGTCCAAGTAATGCCGAATGTACGGAGAAAATCCTCTTTGCCGTTTCCTGCATCGACTCCAGGTCCTCTTCAACCTCTTCCGCTAGAAATTATACATCAATCAAACCATATATTATTCTTTATGTAATTGATATAGTAAAGATTTAACTTGTTGAGGCTCCAACTTTTCGAAAATAAATTAACTGGAAGCCTTCTTACACATCATATGTTGCAATATTTTTAAGAATATAAATATCAGTGCATTATTCATATTTTTCTTATTTATAAATATGGAAGAGAAATTCAATCATATTATACTTACACGAAACTGGAGGCAATGATAAATTCTTCTTCATGAGACTTGCAGCACACGCTCCTCCGAGGAAGGACAATTCAATTTCTAGATTCTTTAAACCATGGCCAGATGTTATCCAATCGTAACCAATAACTAAGCACTTGAAGCCGTATGTAATTGAACTTTCATTCTTCATATAATCGGATGCAGTTTCCAAAGAAAATATCACTTCATTTCCTAAACACGATTAACCGTGTTATCTCGTATATCTTTCTGTATATCTCGTATATCTTTCAATAATGTTACATATAACATACCTGGTAACACAACAGCATTTTGTGGCCATTGACTTTGAACATTACTCAACTTGTGTAATACTGGCCAATATAGAGGAGCATCCTCCCCTATAATATTTGAAATTGTCCTGTAATGACAAAAATTAAACGTAAAATACAAGTATCTATATTGTACAAAAGTGCGGGAGCATTTTACCTACCCTATGGAGGAGTTGGGGATTATATTTGGTATATAAAGTTGTAGATAATCTTCTGGTTGCGAAGTTCCACATTCTGGAGTAAATTCAACAGTCAGCCACTTTACTGTTTCCGGAAAAGTGACTTTATAATACGATACTGTTGCTGGTTTATAAGGATGTTCGCTTTCCAGCCAGGTATAATGATGACTAGTAGTAATTGGAGGAGCAAGGTGTGATTGAGTTTCACTATCTTGGGATATTTGCGAAGTTCCCATCGCGGACAATAAGTTTAAAGCCGCAACGTGTGGCAACATCTCTTGTATTAGAGTAAGGATTTGTACGCTGCTCTGAAAGATGCCGAACAATAATTTATATTAAATATTTTTCTCGTTAGTCATCCAAGTTGTTTGTACTTAAAAAGTCTTTAGAATGACTTACTCTAGGATCTGATGTAGCTAAAGGACTAATGTGTGCCATTACCAGCGGCAAGAGAGTCGTTACAAAAGTCGCATTACCGAGGACCTCATTAGCTATTACTTCTTCCGCTCTTTCTCTTGCCAGAGAAAAAATTTCGTTCGACCGTTGAATGATCGTTGCCGTCATGGCGAGAGTACATTTTCTCGCTTGCACCTCCGCCATGGCTTTATTCGTGTGTTGCCCATCGGAATCTTGCGGATTTGAATAGTATAAAATATGCGGTATTTGTCCCCTAGTTTGTGTTGTGCCTGCAACAAACATGTTAATACATCAAAATATTATGTTACTACATCAATAATTAATAAACACACTGCAATATTATGCAATTTGCATATTGCGTGTTTCTTCAACTCAACGTAAATGTATATATAGATTTAACGCACCGTTAAAACTTAGAGAACAAGCCGTAAAGGTAAATGTTGTGCCATCGGCTCCTTTGACAACGTTTAGGCCGCCGTCACCGTTACTGGTTCGTCCGCCGCGATTCCGTAGCCTAATAGCATACTTGATATTCTCTTTTATGAGCACCGGTTTGTCAAATTTCAATTCTACTGTGTCATTAACACAGTCATCCGGTCCGAAGGATCCTCTCGTAAAATCTAAACTGCTCCAACGTTGAGTGTGCGACGGATCGTTACCAGTATTATTTTGCTAGTATAACAAAGTGACGACAATTAACGCTATAGAATTCAAATTGACAAGAACAATATGACAAAATATGTATGTGTTACGTACATCATCTAATAATTCCAATTCATAATCGTACACTCCCGCTCCTCCATAGATACCAACGCCGGCTATGAGGATGCCCGGCCTGTCGACGGAGAAGCAAATAGCGTCCGGAGAGCCATTGCCCGTATTCCACGATCTGGACTGATTTGTCCTTGTAAATCTCGAGGGCGTGGTATACATGAGTCTGCCGCAAGCTGCCTGCAATTCGTCCTCATTCCCGCTCGATTGTGCCGCCAGTTCGGCGATTACTCGCGCTAATAAGTAACAGCAATGTAGGATCAATTCTGGCAGAGACTGAATCTTTTCTCTACAAAGGCTCCTTTTGACCGGTATCAATATCAGGTCCAGCAGTCTATCGAGTACTTCGCGGAACGACCAATTCAAAATCTCCTTTCCGGAGCTCTCCACTTGGGACTTGTAGCTGATTTGTTCAACCAAAATCGGATACTGATGACTTTCCGTCGAATTCATCATAAGTAAGCCGGCATTGTCGGACGGGCTGAGCTGCCGCTTGACGCTGTCGCTGTTGTCCATGATGTTGCTCAAGATTGGAAACGTACATCTAAGCCGTATCGCCGAGTTGCACAAGGAAGCCAGCACGGCCGAGAGGAGACGATCTTTTGTAGTTGTGCCTTGCTCTTTGTCGATATCCGACAATAATTCGCACAAGGAGGTCCACTTGAGATACGCGGTAGGGTAAAACGCGTGATAACACGCCACAAACGTCTTGTGACATTCGTCCAGTATGCTGTTTGTCATCTTATTTCCCAGGGTGTTACTGGAGCTCTTGCTCGAGCGCGTCTTCCCTTTACTTTTCAGAGTAATCGGTAGCGAATCGGACAAAATTTGACGCAATAACGCTCGCACCTCGCCTATACATTCCGCCAAGCGCACCGACTCGGCTGGGGTCTTCTTAACAACGTGACTCGGGTAGATTTCATTGGTGTACGTTCGTAGCAGTCTTAAACTGGCTTTGCTTATGTACACCAATCGTTCCATCTCGAGCATCGCGTGAGTCGACGACGTGATGTGAACGGCCACGTCGGCCAGCGTCGCTTTCAACGTGTTCCAGCTCCACTGGAGGAGAGATATCAAGGACTGGAAGCACTCCTTCGTGACGGTCCGACTGAATTCCCTCTTGAGAACGTAGACGGGCTCGACTTGGTCTCGCTGCCTGTTCGACGTCTGATTCTCGGGTGTAACCACGCGGTACAGTAACTGCGGTATCTGGCCGGCGTTGACGTCGGTGCCGTTGTTGGATCTCTTAGAGGACTTGAAATAAAACATGACTTGATCCTCCGCCGTGACCATGCCTTGCCCTCCGGAGCCGCAATCACTGGAGGGTCCGCCGACTTTGGCCCACGCCACGTACCACCTGTTGGCTTGCAAAGATACGGGCTCGTCGAACAATATCGAGTATTTCTGTCTCGGGCCACACTCGTATGGAATCTCTTCAGTCTCCGCGAGAAGCTCGCCGTCGTTCTCTTGATCTCCACCGTCGATTCCGATGTCGAACAGCTTGATCTTGGCGGTGTATTCTCCTCGACCGCCAAACAAGCCGTAGCCTCCCAGCATGATGTCTGTATCGGGCATAAATCTGATCGCTTCGATCGAATGAGCGGAATAGCCCCAGCCTCCTCCGTGGCTCTCAAACCTGCTAACAGTAACGTAGTCCTCGCGACTGTAAACCTTACCGTGCATCGATCGATTACATTCGTTTTCCTCGACTATCGATAAGTTTTCATCTTGGGCCTGCGTCAATGTGTCCAAACAAGCTAACAGATGCATCGCGGCTTGCGAACGCGTGACAAAGCAAGTGGAGACAACCGGTAGCGCTAAACCGGGATTGAGTATGGAAGCTTCCAAGCCAGGTATCGCTCTAGCCTCTGTCGATATTATGTTGTACAGGCTTATCTCGTTATTAGCTGAATTGAACGTCCAAATAACATTGTACAGAGGATCCAAGCATGCCGCGCAGTTGCTGAAATCGACCTGGTCCACGCCGCTGTAACTGTTGCACGTTCCGTCGCGCTTGCTTATCACCAGACTCTTGAAGGAATTAGCGTGCTCATTCTGATGAGGTATCAGGATAATACAGTTTTTATTCGCCATGACAGTGCTCCGTGTCAAACTAATGGAATTGATCTCGTCTATCTTGACGTAGGTTTGATCACCAGCGGCACCGATCCACGTCGCTCGTCTACCCCATCGAGGACCGATATTCGGCACTACGTTCGGAAAGCTGTGCCACGGTTGCGAGCGGTCGGCACGGCGGTTTACCTGCAAAGTGGCGTTCGTAGACTCGTTCTGACCGTTCCACCAGTTCATGCCGAGCTGGCCCTTTTGGTACGCGCCGAACGTGTAAACTTCCCCCTTTGACGTGAGTATAACGGTGTGATTGCTACCGGCGGCCACTTGAGTAGCGATAGTCGGCAACTTGACTTGAATCGGCCCCGCGTGCGCCGCTAAATCTCCAACGCCCAACTGACCGTAAATGTTACTACCGAACGTGTATACCTCGCCGTTTTGCAAAAGCAGCACCGTGTGATGCAAACCGCAGGACACTTGAATCACAGGACTTTCGCTAGGAATGGCAACTCTGGCCGGTGATATACTGGCGATTCTCGCCGCGTCCCCTCGTTCCACGTCGCTACCGCCGACGCCCTCCTCGACCGTGAGATGAACTCCCAGTCCCAACGCTACCTTCTCCGGAAATCCCTTCTGCACGATACTGGGGCCGGCCACGCGCTGATTATTCGATCCCTTCAACTTCACTCCGTACTTGACGGTACTCGGGCCCGCCTTGCTCCTCTGCCGCTGCTTTATCTCGCCCAATCGTCTGTGCAGATACTCCCGGAAGTTGGAGCCCGATATGCCGTTGCTGCAACTCTTCCTCGCACACGTGCGACAGCATCCGCATTCCGCGCATCCGCTGTCTCCCTCGCCGCATCCGCACTCCTGGCCGGGATTCCGATCGGGACGTATACTACTCAGGCACGATATGCTGTAACCGGTACATTCTCTGCATATCGTGCACACCATACAAACGCGATGCCTCCACTGGTGCTGCCCCGGAGGGCACATGCCTCTCGTCTCCTCCCAATCTTCCGCAGGATCCACGCTCTCTTCTTCGGCTATTATCAACTCGTCCTCCCCCGTACCCATCTCCATCGCGACCACCGACATTTCTTTATTCACAGTATGCACCGTCGTAGAGTCACGACCGCACTGTCCCTTATTATTTATACCGAATGTATACAGGTGTCCTTTGTTGGTTAATGCGGCGGCATGAGCCTTCCCCAACGATACACGAACTATACAAACATCCCTTAAATCGGTAACTAGTCCCGTCACTGGATCGCTGTGCAGCGTATCTTTACCAAACATTAATAGAGAGCCATCTTTCGTGACTAAAGCAGTAGACCCATTATTACAAGCAGCGTCCACAATAAATTGTCCTTCCACCTTTGCCATTTTCTTTGGTTTTACTGGTTTTGGTTGCCTGCGAGCTTTATCTGAAAAGAAAATTAATAGTTTGAGTGATTTTCTTGTTACAAGTATTGCCACAATCTATGTTGTAAACTTACTACTGTCTCCGTCCTCTCCACGTCTAGCAGTGCCAGCAAATAGTACAGAACCGTCCTCCATGACCATAACAACGTGTTGACCATCATGACCTGCCGCAAAATGCACAATCCTTGGACCTTTACCAAAGGTAAGTTCCATCCACCTGTTAGGCCTCGTATTGCTCTTCATGCCTAGGCAAGTTCCTTTCCCGCTGTATAATAACTAGAAAAAAATAAGTATACGTGAAATATCGAGTAATCTTAACCAGCTATTTGAGAGATCTCTCGGTAAGACTTACTTTTCCAGATACTGTTTTAAGTAAGCCAAATTCCTTTCCTGCTGTAACCATTGCGATTTCATCGTCGCATCCCGGATTCAAGGTATGTATCGCCTGCTCTTCATCAAATATCGCATACCCAAATATGTCGACGCATTTTCTTGCCAATTTCAGTGGCAGCTCCGAGGCAACTGTCACGGGATTACTCAGCGTATTTATTGTACGTACTACGAAACCCTCCTGTGAAGAGAGAAGATGAAGATTAAATAAAACTATTTGAGAAAAGTAACGACACATTTGTGCGCAATCCAACTAATTACATCTTTGCCAGCCGTTATCATTCCTAAATTTTCACCATCGGAGAACATGACGGAGGATGACCAATCTTTGCCCTCCAGCACGGCAATTCCCGTTACTATAAGCGTCTCTGCGTCGATAATTAATAGCTCACTCTGTTTTCTAGGTGCACATTTAAAATATAATGAATTCTGTAAATAAAGCTTTGTGTAAGTAATCACATGGTAAGTCTTAACACTGGTAAGTCTTAAGCATTGACGTGCAACTAACATTAGCATAGCCAAGCCATCCCACTTCCGCCGGATAAAAATCTGCTTTGTGTACGTATATATGTCCCCATATCGTACCACTGTGGCCACTTCCGATTTTTAGCAAACCACGAGATGTATGCAGATACAAATACTTTCCGTCACTCACAAAACTACGTTCATTCAATACCATATTGTTCATCTCATTTGGTAACTTAAGCACAGAGGTATATATTTTGGAACACTTAGGAACGCCGTACGTAATCCAATCCGGTCTCACAAGTTTGCCTAACAAAACAGCGTGTACACTTCTCTGCAGAGACGTTAACACACATGGCATCTGAAATAAAAAGAAAAGCAAGCTTCATAATACGATACGTACCGTATCAGGTGACAAATCAATACCGTGATTACATCGGCGACGATACCTGAATATTTTGTACCGCTAACGCTCTAGGAGACATGAGTAGGGCCGCTATTGCTGCCAACAGTCGTCCGGTGTCCCCTCTGACTACAACGAGACTCAGCAAACAAGCACAAGCGACAGCTGTCAAGTGACTGCCGTCATTGGCAGCCGCTGACTCGGGGCCATGAGAAGTCGCAAGATCCAATAACAGATCAAATAGCGGATCTAAAAAGAGGTAAATTATTATCGCCAAGTTTGTCACTTTGTCAATGAAAAAGATAAACCAACCAATGACGTCATCTGGTTCGGATTTGAGGCCTTCTGGTAGTTGCCCTTGTAAAACGTCCAATAAAGCCGACAGTGCTTTTGTACATAGGACTGGATCGACTGTTCTACTCTCCCGCATCAATGTAAAAACACTTCTTAAACCGATACCTACGATCTTTGTTGGAAAAGTTTCATTAGTTACATACCTTACATAAATTGTACCAATGTTGTAGCAAAGTTTACCTTTGGTAAATTTTGTATAGTTGATATCCTATCCTCGTCGTCGCTCTCTGTGTCTATAGTGTCGCTAAGGTCTGGTGGTGGAGAATTACAGTTTGACGCTCTATAAATCTCGCTCGACAACTTGGCATGTTTTTCTAAAATGGCACTTCTCGCGCTGGCGAACACGGCAAATGCCGAGGCGTTGCAAGAGGTTTCTATCTCCGGCGGATTATTGTAATTTAGTTCTCCGTTTAAATCAATCTGTACATACATGGGAAATGTGTCAGAGTACATTTTATCTTGGAAACCACAGGTGGCAAAAGAATGATTCTGATACCTTCTTCTTGTCCCGTTTGCGAATAGCTTTATTTTTCTTACACTTCCTCCATTCTCCCTTATTCCTACAAGATATTAGAATTCACTGATATGAGGCTTGTTTTCTATTTACACACTGGTAAACTAGTTGCACTAGTTGACCGGTGCAGCAGTAGAAAAGCTGTGCAAAAACTTGGACGAGGTAAATAAATAGGATAGAATAGGATAAAAGCGAAACTCGCGGGCGATGGTGGATAAAGAAAAAATTGGAGGTTACGATGTACGATAAAGGCGATAAAGGCGGCCGTGTCGAGAGAAAATTGCCGTCTCGATCGGGACGCGAGGGACGCGAATCCGCAGCGTCGGGCGATCGCGACGGCGAGAGGTAAACAAATGGCGGGAGAGAGGTTATCGTACCTCTGCGCCTCGGCGACGTTCTTGAAGAGGTCGTAGAAACACCTGGCGTAGCTCTCGGGCTCGGGCAGCAGCCGCTCGTTGTCCCCGGACACCATGACTCGCGCCAAACTCCCCGGCACATGAGTCACCAAGTGATTTTCGTGACGCTATTGATCGTTGACACTCGCTCGGCCGCCGTGTCCTGCCCCATGTGACAAACGTCAACGCACTCGTTCCCGCCTCCCGGGGGAATCCTGGAAAGGGGAGCGAGAGGATGACGATCTGCTGATCCCGAACCGGCGTGCGCTGCGCTGCGCGCGGGCCAGCGGAGCCTGCGGAGCAGCGGCGAGAGCGCGATTCAAACGCGCACAAGTTCGTGTTGAACAGTGCCGGAGACGAGCGACTTCGATAGTCGAACGGTTATCGCCGTGCGATAACGCGCCAACTTGCGGACGCTAAATGTCAACGCTAAATGTCACGTTTATTCGTAGGAACATGCTCATCGCGGACACGAGAATCCAGACTTACCGCGATAAGACTTATCGCATAAGCCAAGATTTGCAGGAGCAACTCCTCCCCCTCCTCGTAATTCCGCCTCTCCCCCCGCCGCAACCCGGCGTACGCGTGCGTCTCGCACCGAACGCACCAAATGCTATACGCTAGTAGAATCCGCGCGCGGTCACGTCGAGATCAGTCGAGATTACCGATCCCACGAGTAGCATGAGCGGGAGGCGCGAGCACGCGACAACGACGGAGTATCACCGATAAGGCGCGTACATGCCGACCTTTTTTTTCCCTCCTACGCGGTTAAATCGCTGCCTGCGCGAGGGCTAGCGGCAACATAACCTCCAAGCCCCGAGGTCCCCTTTCCTAATCCGTCTCGTCGATCGCGGTCGCGCCAATCCGGCTGATCCACCCTCAGGTCGGGAAAGCACCCAGTCATGTATACATACATTTGCAAAACGTATCTCATTTTTATCTAATCTTTTGTAACTTTCTATCGCGATAGGTCGGAGGAGGCATGCGGTACGATTAATTCGCCAGCTGAGAGATTTCTTTTTTTATTATGTCGAGGCTACGTGCGCGGATAAGCAAATGAAAAGGATATGACTTGTCATGATATCGTCCTTTCGGTAAGCGGTGCAAGTTTTCGGTGCGTGCTAGACGGCGTTTGTCATTCAACCTCTACTTCCAGCCTAGTCAGATGCGAGATTTCATGGTACGACTCAACTGTGAATGTTCTGTAGATGCAACCTAACGAACGATAACCTCGCTAAAGGAGTCCTAATAAACTAGTGGGAATGGGCAATTGTTTGTGTAAGGATACTCCAGGCATATACGACATTGAGACATACGGCAGCAATCATGCAGAAGCTCAGAGTACCATAATACCAGAGCCGAGTATAAGCATAGTTTCGTGTAGCGACTCGGCGTCCCCTTCCTTTAAATTTCCCACTTCAGCTAACATTGACAAGCTCGTGCTGGAGACACTGGGCAGTCTCGACACTCTGGTAGATAAGTAAGTAACTAGGTGACGTCCGGTGTACGTAATCGTTTCTACATGCTTGCGTATGTTTAGTGATCACGAGCCACCGCCAGCAATGCTCAAGTTGAATGCCATTGCTGACAAGGAAGATGGCTGGATACAAGTAGTCAGTTCTATGGTCAACGTTATTCCAATGAATAATCCGTTGGGCCCTTCGGTTATAATATTATTACTGGATGATTGCCCTTTACCTTCAAAGGTTGGCATCGATTTGTAATTCTTATTCTCGGAGAGAATATTATTGCTACATTTTCCATGAAAATCTTGTCTTGTTGTAGGATTCTGTGCTACGATTATCAGACATGTTTCAATTGCCTCAAAAACTTGGACAGATACAAATTACAACTACACAGCAGCGCAATATATGTGTAGTACTTGGCTGTATCGCAGAGAAGCTTGCTGGTCCTAGTAGTATTGCAATATTATCTGACGCTACTTTAGATTATCTAGTTTCGAATCTAGTACGTCTTAAAAATTGTATCAAAATGTAGTCAACGTTAACTCTTGTTGTCAATATAATTAAATTTTCTTCTTTTAGCGCAAAGAAGTTGAGCCTTATGTAATGTTATATTCTTTGATAGCACTAGAGAAGTTTGCGCAGACAAGTAAGAAAAATACTTGGTTAATAAATTTTGCATGTTTTGAAAACTAATGCTTATATATGTGTCAACAGGTGAGAATAAAGTAACTATTAAGAAACGCCTTATGGCGGAAAGACAAAATCCATTACTGGAATTGGAAAAGTGGGCCACGGAGACGCATTATGTACGTCGGCAAGTTGGTTTCTGTGCACAGTGGTGTTTAGATAACTTATGTGAGTACGAGATAATCTCGTCAAGCGCCATTTACTCCGCTCGGTAGCAACAATGATGTATTTAATCAATCTTTGTCTCTCTTTAGTCTTAATGGAAGGTAGAAAATATTCCCACAACTCCGTCGATGTGACGGGTATTAATGTAATGTTAAATACGAAAGATGTAAGCGAGTACCTGAAAATATCACCTAATGGTTTGGAGGTAAATGGCCCGTTATATGGTATCTTTTGCTAATATAGACAAGTATATTGTCACTTTAGTGAAATAATGATTGTTATTTTAGGCACGATGTGATGCATATTCCTTTGAAAGTGTACGATGTACATTTCAAGTAGATTCAGGAATATGGTATTATGAAACATTGATAATAACTACGGGAGTTATGCAGATCGGCTGGGCCACAAAGGACAGCACGTTTCTAAATCATGTAAATATTGGTGTCCGACAATTGTTCATTTACCGATTGTTGTCATACAAATAAACTTTTTAACAGGAGGGATATGGTATAGGGGACGATGAATTTTCTTTGGCCTACGATGGCTGTCGCAGACTGATTTGGTATAACGCGCGGAGTGAAAAGTTTCACGACAGACCATGTTGGAAATCTGGCGATATCTTGGGTTGCTTATTGGATTTAAACAAATTGGAGATAATATTCTCGATTAATGGTGTACCACTTAAACCGTGCATTCAAGTATTTAAGACAGTAAGGTACATACGTTCGTCTTTGTTTTTCCACGAATGTTGAAGCAAAATGATACAACGGTAACGATTACTTTTAGGTCTGGATTCTTTGCAGCGGCTAGTTTCATGTCATTCCAACAATGTCTATTTAATTTTGGACATGTACCTTTCAAATATCCGCCCACTGATCGAGAATTTCAAAAGTTTAATGACTACGCTACATTGAAAGCAGAAGACAAGATCATACTTCCTAGGCACATATACCTAGACCAATTACGAAGGCTTAGTGTCAGGGAGGATTCCTGTACGTTATGTTTCGATCAGAGGGCATCGGTGAGGTTACTGCCATGCAACCATAGGTAATATTGTATTTAAATGGGTGTTTGGCGAAACGATGCACGACACAATAATGCATTTTCTTTCTACAGAGGATTTTGCCAAAGGTGTTCAAAACAGTTGATTGAATGCCCCATGTGTAGGGCTACCATTGAAGAAGTAGCATGCTCAGATAACATATGACATCGATCATCTCATATCAATCTTAACAATTTCTTTCATTTCCTTCATGTCATGCAATTTTTATGGAAATATCACGAGATAATCATCATTATAGATAGTTATTTACGCCGTGTATTGTATACAGTTATCACGTGTCACATAGTATTTTTCTCGATGCAATACGGTGCATTAATAAATAGAAGAAACTGCAAATTAATTAATGTAGAAACAAGAATTCCGTGATAGTACGTTGCAAAGATTTGAATAAGTTTCTATTTTAAAAAAATCAAATGTTTTACCAAGACAAAACATTCTCCTTTTCCATACTTGTCTATACTTTTTCTACTCTATAGCTTTACAGTAAGATACTTTATGGTTTAAATAATATCCTCATTAAAGTGATTAAAGTGAGGTATAAATGACTATATCATAAATTAATACGATTAATGAAATAGATGCGAGAGAAAGTTGTAAGGAATAGATTGGAGAAAATGATTAATCCGAGAAGAGCTCAAGTTCCACATGAAAACACGTGTTTCGTGTAAACACTTTTGAGATAAGTATTACGTATTTGTTATCATAAGAAATGTAATAGTGAAAACTTGGTACAAGCCCTGGTCTTCTTGATATCAAATACAATGATTGCTCTATCGATTGTGTATAGATTTCTCGCTTTGAAACTTGTGACTGAATCATCAAATTCGAAAGGTTCTTTAATCGTTAACTCGATAATGTATTTCCTCTATTAGCAAAAGTTGAGATTATATCTTGAAGCTGTTTAAATTCTTAACAAGTTGCGTAAGTGAACATTTACAACTAGTGATCTAATGTAAGTTTATTTTTAAGGAATTGTGAAATACTTGATAGTATACATTATATCAAAAGTACATACACCACATTCACACACATACATACACATATATTATATTCTTGGGAAGATATAAAGAGAAATTTAATGTTTTATCATATACATGTATTTTGCAAGCATTTTTTTATAAAGTCTTATTTTCGTTATCAATTACCTCTCCCGTTATTCTCATGCAAATAATACCCGATACTTGATAGTGAGTATGTATTGATATTTAAAAAATCATTTATTCGCAATCTACCATTTCTTTGACAATAATATATATGTACGTTTCACTCAGTATCACGATTAGATACGACAACACCCTGAAGAAAACTTGATCAGAAACTGTCTCTCTATCCTTTTTCTTTTTCTTTTTTATGTGGATTTGTCAATTTAATGGTATGATTAAAAATTGTGTTGAAACCAAATTATTAACATGTATAATTTCAGATTGAAATATCACCATTGTTGCTAATGTTGAAAATGCCACTGCATATCGTTGGAAAAATATTGATTCAAGTCAATTTTATATGTATATGGTTTACCTGCATTGACACGTTGCAGTTGGTACAGTTGCGCTAAGCTGCGCCCAAGATCCAGCAATGTCTGCGCTCTCAGCTTCGTTTCTATTTGAAAAAACCATAAATAATTAACATATATGCATGTGATATGGAATTATGGTGTAATACTATCATCTAAAAGATTTTTTCTCTAAACTGGATGATCGCAATTGCTGCTAATTGCTGTAACATTTCAATGTGTGCGCACAATAAATTTGTCAAAAATTTATTGCATACCACGGCCGCATTTTACCTGACGAGATTTGTAATAGCAATAATCGCTTGATACTTTCCGCGATGCTTATTTATATGCAATATTTACTCTCAATCCACATAATCTATACAAAATATAGGAAATTGAATGTATTGTACCAAAGTAGTAGAAATTAGAAGGAGAAAAATGTTCAATATGCCACTTGCGCCTCTTGCAACATTTGCGCGTGTCTCTAACACAGGAATCTGCAATTGTTTCAAGTGGCACCTGTCCACTGGCGCCTCCACGTGCACCAGATACACTCAACTACGTAGCAACGGACATTTCCAGAGGATAATACGTTATGATCGATATTCTCTTGTTATTTCGAGACCGTCCTAAGTGATGTTGGATGCTCGTCGACAAAAACGCGATGCAAATGTAAATTACTAGTGCAGCTTTGCGCCAACACGAGTAATGAGGAATAGTAGCCTCGTCCCGCATTGCCGGGACTTGGTGGGCATCCTGTATGTAATTACGCTCGGATACCACGTATGAAACGTAATGCTTGAAATGAAATAATTGTAGACGCGCGAGGATCCGGCTCTGCCAAAGATTCCGACGGGGGATACGATAACGATTCGTCGAATCGACGCTGTTACTCGCTGGAGCGCGCCAAGGCCGGGTTTATCGTGCGTCGCGCGACATTGCTAAACCTGATAATGTTATTTACCGCGTACCGTCAAACGCGTCGCTACGACCGTCGTCGGTGATCCGTCCGTTGCGTGCCCACGGCGTTCTTCAAATGAACCAACATGGCGTCGGCGTCGGTTCACTATTGCGCGGTGCTACGCGAGTCAAGTTAACGACGCGAGTTAGTCATTGTCCTTTCGAACGTCCAAGTTATCCAAGGTAGGAGCCCTAGTCCACACACGTCCAAGGTATAGCGCGATATCTCGAGGCCAGTGCGCGTCGCTTACTTGCACGGAGAATCATCGCTCGCGTCGTCCCGTGCCGATACCTTTGCCGTGTACGAATGGCACGGGACGATGTGCGCGACCGTCTTATCGACGTCGTCTCAGTTTCTCGGAGCTTCGCTCCTATTTCGTGCTCGCTTAAGTGCGCGTTTATTCGAGATACATTGCGCTCGCGACACCAAAGTGATATTCCAGAGTCGCGTCGCTGACTCGACTCGCGTAGTAGTATTCGCGCGGGAGCGCAGGGCGCGCAGGCGCCGCCGGTTACGGCGCCATGTTGGCTTGTTCGAGAAGCATCGCGGAGCGTCGCGGACACGCAGCGGACCGGAGTGAGGTAACGCTGACCAGGTTCATCGGTCGCGGCGTACAATGATGGATGCTGACGCGTCGGGCGAGCCACCGAGCCGCGTAAATCGAGCGAGATACCCCAGGATCCTCGCGGCGCGGCGCCGCGCCGCCGCGCCGCACCGCACCGCCGCGCCGGTATACCGAGCTCAATTTTACTCTCGCGTCTCTTCGCGCCTGTACAAATACCCGAGTTTTTCACGCGTTCGGCGCGAAATCGCCTCGGAGATACTCGAGGCTTGGCGCGAAATGGAATCTCGCGATGACGCGCGCGGTGCGAGTGCGAGAATCGTATCGATCGAGTCTCGATATTCTCGCGGCGAGGTGGTTGGGCGCGCGGCCGCGCGAGTGCGCGGCAGTTTGTTGCAAGATGGCGGGTGAGTGAGTGCCTGTGAACGGGACGAGGCTGCGCCGAAAACACGAGGGATTTTCCGCTAACCCGTGGTGCTTGTGGGTTTCAGATATATCCTACATCGAGACGGGGGATCCGGAGGACCCGGACGAAGGTGAGTGCCAGGCGCGCGTGTGCGCACACGTATCGAGCGAGGGCGATCGGCGCGCGGTCGCATCCCGCGCGCGACGACCGAGCGACTTCGAGCCGAGTTGTCGGACTCGGCAAGGCCCGATTCCAAGCGCGGCGAACCTCCGTCGGGCGGTACGTCACATCCCCAGGTGCTTCCGGGCACGCGTGCGCGCGTGCCAAGCGGCACGCGGGGCCGTCGCGGCGCCGCGTCACTCCGGCGCGACGCGGCTCCCCGCCGCGGATTTCGAGGTTAGGATCGCGCTGCGCCGCCGCCGCGGCGCGAGACGAGTCGCGATTACTCCGGCCGTCATAAGAGAGAGAGAGGCTTTCGCGCGGAACGACCGCTCCCGCGCGGCACGGCCGCGACGCGGGGAGCAGCGCGTTTCGCGAAATCACGGGGCGGTTCTGTCGGTCGAGAGGGGGCGCCACGCCACGCCACGCCACGCAACGCAACGCAACGCCACGCCGCGCCGCGCCGCGCGTCGTGCCGTGTTTATCTCGACGAGAGGGAAAAAAAGGAATGTTGTGCTTCGGCGAAAAGGAAAAGCAGTCGAATTCGAAACTGGATCTCCGTCGGAGCGACCACCTGCGATTCGCGTCGTGAACGTAACGCACCGGCGCCAGATCGATGACAATCTCGAAAGATTTGGCACGATCGTGATGCATGTCACGTTTCTAAAAATTATTGAATATCTCGGGATACCCCGCGCGGTTAAACACTCAAGCTAGGTCGACAACGTGGAAATGTAAATTTCTGAAAATTATAGCAATCTTAATCCGCCGTTAAAGATACGTTGGAGCAACCTCAATTTCGTTGATGAGAAACAAGAGTCGAATATATGATTGATATATACAAGGCGCATGTGGATACCATTATAACTGAAAACGCGTAATGACCGTTCGCCGACGTCTAAAATACAGTGTGTTCGCGGCGCAGAGAGGCGCTCGGACGAAGGTCAGAGTCACGAAGAGTGGCGGCATCTCGGCAGATTAAAGAAAACGGCGCAGTTAGCGCGCGCGCGCGCGCGCGATTCCTTCCCCTATCGGGGTTACTGATCTCGGGTTCCTCGTTCTATCGTCTATTTGCGAGTGCCATCTGTCGTAAGTAGGGCTGTATCAAGGGGTCGCCGGTCCTCGCCAGTCCTCGCCGGCGATCGCCGAAAAACCCGCACCCGAGTTCCCTGCGCTCGTTCGCAACGAGGCTGGCCGAGAGGGACGCGGATCCCGGCAAGGCACTTTTCTAGTCAAACGCGAATAATTTGTCTCATGATTATGCGTCACATAATGAACTCGAGTTCGTTCCGCTCGGGGAACACGTATACGCATTTATCTTCGGTCCTCCATATCTCTCTCTCTCTCATTCTCGCGGGTATCTTCTCCGTCGGCGCCGACCAAGCTGGTCCTAGCCGCCTTTATCTTGCATTCCAGAGACCGTTTTATCAGCTCCGCGCCGCTTATATTTCTAAGCGCGTCTAGATAGAGACAAGTATTCGGATCAGTAACCTTCTCCGATGCCGAAGCACGCCCAGATCTAGATCGAAGCGATCGAGAGGACGTTTCGCGCCAACAATATTTCTTACTGTGACAAGTATAGCAGCATGTAACGAAGGGAGTTTCATTTTAACGACAAGGAGAATCTTTATTAAAAGGCTTCCTCGATTAGTCATCGTCAGCGCGAGTTGTCGTGCAATCCTATTGATTGTACTGTCTCGATGCCGAAAAATTTCAGTTTGACGTATCGATGAAATCCCACCGGGATGACTAATCCGTGCAGTCGTCTAGATTTAGCGAACCCACATGGTTCAGGAGCTCAATCATGAGTCTTTTTCTCTAGCGTAAACCCGTGAAAAGCGAAAAGTTTCATTAACCAACATCAACATTTGTGAATGAAAATTTTCACATTTCACGAGTTCACTGTTGAGGAAAAGATTCATGATTTACGAATGCGACCAACTTTTGAGGAAAAATGGGAGCCAGACACTAATTAAAAATTACAAACATGTGAATGAAAGATAGCGAAAGTTACAGTTACTTTTTATATATATATCTCTCTCTCTAATTAAAAAGAATAGTTGTGTATCGGCTTGAGGGAGTTTTGTGCTACACAATGCTGCGCGGCAATGACCGTGGCAACCATGGTAACTGCCGGTAATCGATCGCGATTATGCAAATTATTTGGTGACTGGCCGTGACAGTTACTGCATTAGACGTTTTTCTCGAGCACCGATGACTCCCGCTTTTCATCCGTCTGATGAAATGGTCCCCGATTATTCGCGGCTAACTCTTAGCGTTCGCTCTCATCCCGTTTTATTCTAATGAACGCTTAAACGAATTTATGAAATGCCAAGGGGAGGGCAAATTTAGATATTCTTAGAGAAATGGGTAGCTTCGTTGATCAATGATTCAACGAAACGTCACGTTTTGTCAAAAGGAAATTACAGGGAATAATTGTTAAGGAAATATATCTAGAAAATGAACAAGAAGATGATGAC